ATTGTGAGTTCCATTGTTGAAGCAGCTTGGAAACCACCAGCCCTTCTGAGTGCCGCTGTCAACAACTTCTGGGTGTTTTGAGTGATACATCCACTAGAGATAGCCTGGGGTGTTGATGCATTTCCAACCCACAAGGATCACAGTGGAGACAACCAGTACTGGTGGAATTACCTTTCCTTTGACTTTCATTATCTTCTCCTCATCATCTGCTTCTTTCACCCCAGAGTAAAAGGCAAAACAATGAAGTTCTACTGAGCTCCCTTCTGCAGAAGGAAAGGTTGAAGGAAGGGAAGGTGCTGCATTCCAACTCTTGACTGGCAGAAGTTGGTAGCCCAGGGCCAGAGCATGGCAAGTGACGCTAGGCAGGGCATCTCACTCCCAGCCCAGGTGGCGCCCTCTCCGCTGCCTCTGCCCTAGCCAAGCAAGGCGTGTGGGGGAAACATGCCGGCTCTGACATTCAACCCAGAATTATATTTCAGAAATTACCAACTAGTTGAATAAATATAGCTCTATTTTTTCCCTTTAACTCAATTTACAATAAATGTAGAAATTGAGCACAGGCCACATGTACTTGGCAGAAGGCTGTTTCAAAAATGAACATCAAACTTATTTTCTCCAAGACTCTCCTCCCCATCATCCATTCAGCATTCAGTTCAGAAAAAATTACCTACAGAACAATGGTTTTCAAATTATGTTTCATAGTCACTGTATTCTTATTCCTTGAGCTGTTACAGGTACGACTTAAATTCTATGCTTAAATGTGTCAAGCAGCTGCATACTACCTATTCCTCTTACATGTTGCCATTATTAAATGTTCTGTGGGCTGGACGCTGTGGCTGTAATCCCAGAACTTTGGAAGGTTGAGGCAGGTGGGTCACTTGAGATCAGGAGTTCTTGACCAGCTTGGACAGCAGGGTGAAACTCTGTCTCTGCTAAAAATACAAAAATTAGCCGGGCGAGGTGGCGCATCTGTAATCCCAGCTACTCAGGAGGCTGAGGCAGAGGAATCACTTGAATGCGGGAGATGGAGGTTGCACTGAGCCGAGAGTGCGCCACTGCACTCCAGCCTGGTGCCTGGCGACTGAACGACACACTGTCTCAAAACAAACAAACAAACAAAACCAAAGTTCTGAGACATTGTACTATTAAGAAAACTGTTTTCTGCACTTTTTCTCTTTTAATCACAACCCTCTCCAGCAACAACACCCCCTCTTCCCCAGCCAACACATAACCTAAGACCCGAAGCTCCTATTATTTTATGGAATTAGTGTTCTAGGGTTCACAACTTAGGAAATCCTACAGCAGAGCCTCCTTGTAATAATAGGGGGAAGAATGGAAAGCCATATAAAGCCCTGGAGAGTTTTTTTCCCCTAAGAATATTGATGTTTTCTTTATCTCCTGCCATATCAGAACTGCTTTAGTGAAAAGTTAGAGGGTTTTAATTCCATTTACTTTTATTTCACATTCCTAGTCTCTAGCTAGCAGGGGTGATGTTTATCAAGTTACCCTCTTTTTGCCTCTCACACTTAAAATGTGAAAAACACCAATTTCATAGGGCTGTTCTGAGGACTGAGTTAATACAGTGCCTCACTCATAAATAAGTGCTCAGCCGGGTGTAGAGGCTTACACCTGTAATCCCAGCACTTTGGGAGGCCAAGGTGGGTGGATCATCTGAGTACAGGAGATCCACCTAATGTCAGGAGATCACCTGAGGTCAGGAGGCTGGCCAATATGGTGAAACCCTGCCACTCTACTAAAAATACAAAAATTAGCCAGGTATGGTGGCAGGCAACTGTAATCCCAGCTACTTGGGAGGCTGAGGCACGAAAATCGCTTGAACCCGCAAGGCGGACATAGCAGTGAGCTGAGATCACGCCACTGCACTCCAGCCTGGGCAACAGATCAGACTCTGTCTTAAGGGGGAAAATGTGCTCATAATTTGAACAATTATTATCACATACAAATACTTGAACTTGTGTCTTTGAAGGACTCAAAACTTTAGTAGAATCAATTTCTATATTAGAACAGTGACAGAAAGGTCACAAAGAAAAGCTTAGGGACAAATGAAGGCCATTGACTACCAAAACATTTGGACTTTATTCTGTAATAGCCACTGAATGTTTTCAATAACACTATAAAAACAATGCAGGAAATATTAGTTATAAATATTGTTATGATCCAGGCAATGTACTAAGCACTTTATATACAATATTTTATTTAACTCTCTTTTTTTTGGAGGGAGTTTCACTCTTGTTGTCCAAGGCTGGAGCGCAATGGTGCAATCTCGGCTCAATGCAACCTCTGCCTCCCCGGTAAAAGCGATTCACCTTGCCTCAGCCTCCCAAGTAGCTGGGACTACAGGTGCCTGCCACCATGACTGACTAATTTTTGTATTTTTTGCAGAGACAGGGTTCACCACATTGGGCTGGGCTGGGCATGGTGGCTCATGCCTGTAATCCCAGCACTTTGGGAGGCCAAGGTAGAGTTATTTAACTATTACAACAATCCTAAGCTTAGGAGTTAAACTCTTAAAACAACCCAGAGGGAATATCCTGATCATCATTTACCCATGAAGAAACTGAAGCTGAGAAAGATGAAAATGAATCCCAGCACTTTGGGAGGCCGAGGTGGGTAGATCACGAGGTCAAGAGATCGAGACCATCCTGGTCAACATGGTGAAACCCCGTCTCTACTAAAAATACAAAAAATTAGCTGGGCACAGTGGCGTGTGCCTGTAATCCCAGCTACTCAGGAGGCTGAGGCAGGAGAATTGCCTGAACCCAGGAGGCGGAGGTTGCGGTGAGCCGAGATCGCGCTGAGCCGAGATCGCGCCATTGCACTCTAGCCTGGGTAACAAGAGCGAAACTCCGTCTCAAAAAAAAAAAAAAAAAGAAGAAGAAAGAAAATGAATTGCCTATGACACCTAGTAAGTGGCCGTAAACATGATTTATATTTCAGGAATCTGACTCCAAATATCATAGTTCAGCTGGAAATTCAAAAGTAAAAGAATTTACACACAAATCATGAAAAAGACAAACCATGATTTGGCTTCTGAGAGGACACAGGATAAAAGAAAGTATTATTGTTAATATTAAATGACTGAGACCTGAGATCCACACATGCAAAACACAACCTGCCTCTCTCTCTCTCTCTCTCTCTGTCTCTCTCTTTCTCTTTGTGTATGTGTGTGTTACATTAAATATTATGGAAAGTCTGCTCAGAGCAAAAGGAAATTAATTGTGGCTGAAGCACTCAAGGACAGCTCGATAAAAGACATTAATGATGGCAGATGGGTAAAATAAAGGAGAAAGATGGCATTACTGCGGACAAAAATGTATTATAATCATCTATTACATTTTAAATTATTATTATATTTTTTCGAGATGGAGTCTCCCTCTGTCACCCAGGCTGGAGTGCAGTGACATGATCTCCGCTCACTGCAACCTCTGCCTCCCGGGTTCAAGCAATTCTTGCACTACAGCCTTCCGAATAGCTGGGACTACAGGTGCGTGGCATCACACCCGGCTAATTTTTGTATTTTTAGTAGAGACAGGGTTTCACCATATTGGCCAGGCTGGTCTCGAACTCCTGACCTCGTGATCAGCCTGCCTTGGTCTCCCAAACTGCTGGGATTACAGGGGTGAACCACCGCGCCCGGTCTTTATATTACACATATTAAAGTAAAAGGATACATGAGGGCAGATCGGAGTTATGCATGAAATTTAGACACATATTATGAGGCTAAATCCCGTTTCATTTGTTTTATTAACTGCTATTGCCTGACTCTGAAGTATTCAGTAATAGTTGACTATAGAAAAGAATGGTAAAGGTCAGGTAGATTTGATCAGATCTGAGGTATGTGGAAGTAGAGGGCTATTTTGTTGTTTTTAACAAGAGTATCAAGTGAGATTGATTTTTCATCTCTTCACCCAGCTCTCTTTCAGAAAGGCCTGTCAGCTAGCTCCATCCCTAACACTTTTAGGGGTGTTGACCCTTAACTGGCAAAACTTGTGTTTAAAATCCCAAATATTAAACAGATAAAAAACGTAGATAGTAAATACTTCGATAACTCATTTCCAGGGAATTGTATGTCTGAGGGAACAATACACGGCTGCAGGTCCTACGAGGCCACAAAAGCTAACTACAGAGATAGTCTTCAGCTATTTTGAAGACAGTAGGCCTTGACTACCGTCATCTCTCGCATGCCCATTAGTCTTACTACGGTCCTGCTGGCGTCAGAGAGGTGGCTGGCTCTACGACGCACGGAAGGAGTGTGTCCGGCCAGAGAAGTGGGGAGGCTCGGCTGCCTTGGGAGGTGCAAGGAGTAGCGCTAGAAAGTCGCCGTTAGGCCTCTGCCAAGAACACCAATGGATCCGCAATGCGCCTGGCCAAACTGCAGCGGCTTAGCTCTTTTAAACACCGCATAACAGAGAAAGCCTGTATTGGAGAAAATAAGAATCTGCGGCAGAAACGGAATGCGCGGTGATTCAAACATTTTTATACAGCATGGTTCCCTCGCCAGACTGCAAATCCCAGCATCCACTCCTTCCACGGGAGCCAATGAAAAAGCTACAAGTTCCTGCAGCCAATCATATTCTGAGCCAGTGTATCACCCGACTGAATTCTGGGATTTGTGGTTTTCACGTGGCAACATTTACACCATGGTGGTTAAGGCAATACAGGCCACTCGTCTGATCCCAAACGAAACCTCCCTGTTTTAATTCTTATGTTGGTTCTGCAAGCTGACTCCTTAATTGTCGTTACTCCCAGGCTTTCTCCTTCTCAAAGATCGTAAACTTCTTCTCTTAATGTCACTAAATAATCAAATTATTTTCAGATTAAGGCCCACTCGTTCCGCTCATCTCCTGTCCTTTAACCGTCATTTAAAGTATCGCGAGAACAGCCCCTTTTAGTGATTGTCATGCCTCCAAAAGGCGGGTCACGCGAAAATTGACACAGGCTTCAGCCAACCAAATTGTGCTTTAACTCTCGTCTGCAGCGTGCTTGGGCGAGGCCTCCTGAACTCTGACCTTAGCTTTCCGTAGCGTCCTGCGTCTTCCGCCCCCGTCCCCGAGCGAAGTAGGCGGGCTTTGGCCTTTTGCCCTAGGGAGCGAGTGCGGAGGGAGTGGGAGCGAGACGGCCCTGAGTGGAAGGGTCTGGTTACCCTTACTGGCCGTGCTGTACGCCTCGCCGCCCATGAGTTCGTCCTTCCGCGAATAGCGCCGTCATTAGGCTGGTCCGGTAGCCTCGGCTTACCCCGGGACAGGCCCACGCCTCGCCGGGGAGGGGGCAGCCCGTCGAGGCGCCTCCCTAGTAAGCGTCGGCGTCGCGCTGCGACCCTGGAAGCGGGAGCTGCAGCGAGCGAGAGGAGGAGCTCCAGCGGCGGCAGCGGGCGGCAGCTCCAGCAGCGCCAGCGGGCGGGATCGAGGCCGTCAACATGGCGAGCGCCTCGTACCACATTTCCAATTTGCTGGAAAAAATGACATCCAGCGACAAGGACTTTAGGTGAGGCCGAGATCCGACTCTCACTCCACCTCTGGGTTCCCCCAGCCGCGGCCCTGGCCGTCACGCAGGCCTTGCCCCACCCCTTCGGCCGCAGCCAGTAGCTTCGCTGCCCGGAGGTCTCTAGCCCACCGCTCCGCTGGCCTTTGGATCCCGGCGGGCCCCTTTCCTCTCCCGGCTTGTAACCGCCTCCCCCATTCGTTCCCCTAGGCCGTTGCCCGCCGCGGTCTCCAGGCCCCTTTTGCGTCTGTAAGCGCCCCCAGACCCTCCCCTGCGCCCCACTGGGAGGCGATTCTCGTGTCTCTGGTAGCGCGAAGGGGCGAAACCACCCACCATTGTAGAGAACGGAGTTGCTCTAGCGGGGAGACCGGGCCCCGGGCCTACCCGCTTGCCATCCTGCGGCGCTAGGCCGCCTTGCTCGCTGGGGCCCAAGCTGGTGGGGGACCCAGTACTCTTCTACCTGCCCGCAGGTGCGCGTGGGCCTGGCTGCATTCAAGTGTAATGATGAACTTTTGCGCTTTTGGCCGATGGGGTTATATACTTCTTTTTTGGATAATTTCTTTTCGTGAAGGTTGGAAGAAGGGGGAGGGGAGCCAGGACGGAGGAAACTTCGCTCGTAGGGTTTTCCCGCCAGCATCACTGTCAGTTCCCTCGTCAGGTAAAACCCACTTAGGAACTCGGGATTTCAGTCTCATATTTTTATATCCAAAATCACTACCAAAGGGGTGAATTGCTGGATCTGAATTGTAGCAGACGGATCTTCTTCAAAAGGAAGCGATGTTTAATACGGAGCTGGTGAATGTGAAGCTTTATTACAGCAATTCTGTTCAGGAGATTTGTAATGTTCCAAATTGTTGTAATATGCATAGTGAAGATTTGTTATATTTTTACACGTTATCTTTTTTCCTTTGTATGCTATGGTGGTTGTTACATTCTTACCCATCTCCCATCTCTTCACAAATGTTCTCGACCTAAAAAAAAAAAAGAAAAAAGGCTGCTTATTTCCTTATACCTGTTTTGTTCTCTAATGCTTCACTGGTTGTAATTAGGGTGCACTTTAAAGGAAAGAACAAATAGTCCTCAACTAAAATTGTGGCTAAAGAGCTTGTTTGTTTTATATGAACAATATGGTTTAACTCCTGAAAATATGTCCAAACCGTGTGGGAAGAACTTTTCAGATTTGTGAACGGAAAACCATGAAAAAGTAGTAGTTGTATTCCTGATTAAATTGATAAACTGGCTTATTAAAATAGTCAATGACCACAAAACATCGTATTACTTAAAAAAATATTTCTATCTAGGAAGCTTTTAAGTGTTGTATTTAACACTTAAAAACCAGTTTGCTAATGGTAAAAATTTTAATATTGTAACTTTTGGGAGGTGACATAGATTTGTTTTATGTATTTTAGATTTGTTTAGTTGTAGGGCCGAAATTAAGATTCTTGGGGGAAATAAGTTTTGTGTTGTTTTACGGATTGGAATGCTGTTTGATTCTCTTTGGGGCTTTGCTAGCTTCCGATTGAAGTCAAAGATGTGTGGCGTGATTTCCTCCCTCTTGCTGTCAGTTTGGCTCATCCTGTAAAAGTAGTAAATTTTATTCTGATTGTGGTTAGTTTCAGGCTAAAGGTAACACTTTATAATAATAGAATTTTGTTCAACTAGTACGACTTCTGTATGGGTAATAAGTTTAGAAAGGCTAAAGAAATTATGTGGTGATACCATACATGTGATTATTGACTAAAGCTTGCTTTCTTAAATTTCCTGGGAAAGAAAGATAACATATACATACCTAGTTTTTTTAAAATAAATTATATGAAAGAAATAATCCTCTATGAAATGACAGTCAATGCCGAATTTGATAAAGATTATGAATTTTGGTTGTACCGAATCAACATTGCCTGGAGGATTGGTGTTAATATTAATATATTCCTAATAGTTCGTGAATGTTAAACAAGGTATGTTTAAAAGCAGTAAGTGATTTTCAGTAATTTGACAAAATTAAGGTTTTTTTAACTGTGTTCTAAAAAACATTTTTTTTTTTTTTTTTTTTTGAGACGGAGTTTCGCTTTTGTTACCCAGGCTGGAGTGCAATGGCGCAGTCTCGGCTCACCGCAACCTCCGCCTCCTGGGTTCAGGCAATTCTCCTGCCTCAGCCTCCTGAGTAGCTGGGATTACAGGCACGCGCCACCGTGCCCAGCTAATTTTTTGTAATTTTTAGTAGAGACGGGGTTTCACCATGTTGACCAGGATGGTCTCGATCTGTTGACCTCGTGATCCACCCGCCTCGGCCTCCCAAAGTGCTGGGATTACAGGCTTGAGCCACCGCGCCTGGCAGCTGGATGAATATTGTCCACCAAACTCCTTAAGTAATAGGGACCTTGTCATACTAAATGGAATCCTTCTCTTTGTCTGGTTCTTGACCATATGGGTTCTCAGTAGGTAGTTGCTGAAATAGAATTGGATTTTAGTTCTATTATATAGGGATTTTAGGAACCTCCAGGAAACCATTGTAAAATCACCTCAACTATTTGTTTAAATGCCACTTGATAGGCTTTTCTTAAAATAATTCACTACATTGTAGAATGCAGTGTTTCCCAATTTTTAAAGGTTTATATTACCAGATTTATTTATTTAAGTGTTTTGGATATTGGAAGGTATTTTGTTTTGGAAACTGTTTAAAATGCTTATAAAAAATCTCAAGCCTGTTAAGGAATCATGATTTTCAGAGCTGGAAGGAACCTTAGAGATCCTATCACATAGCTGAAAGTACAGTGTGGGCATTTATAATAACATGACAGGAAACAGTGAAATTATCTTAAGTACTTGTGCTTGAAGAAAAGCAGGTTTAATCAGAAATAGATTTGCAGAGATTTCTGGGGACTTTTTAAAATACTCAGCAGGTTGATGGCAGTAACTTTCTTGATTTTACTTAGGTGTTTTTTTCTTGATATGTGCTATACTAACTGGTTATCAACAGTGATTAGGGCTCACCACTGGAAAAGAGGAGAAAGGGATCTCACAGAGAAAACTGGAAAGAAAGAATGGTAAAAATTAGATTTCTTTACATGAACAGTATTAAGACTATTCCAATTTAGGCCTGGCACGGTGGCTTATGCATGCCTTTAATCCTAGCACTTTGGGAGACTGGGGCGGGCAGATCACCTGAGGTCAAGAGTTCATGACCAGCTTGGACAATGTGGTGAAACCACATCTCTACTAAAATACAAAAATTAGCTGGACATGATGGTGCACACCTGTAATACCAGCTACTCGCGAAGCTGAGGCAGCAGAATTACTTGAACCCAGAGGCAGAGGTTGCAGTGAGCCAAGATCGCGAGACTCTGTCTCAAAAAAAAAAAAAAAAAAAGACTATTCCAACTTAATTCATAGCACTCTAAGGGAGAAATAAATGAGGAAAAGTGAAATAGCAGTGGTGTTTGTGCAGGATCTCTAAAAGGTAATTGGTGTACTGAGTGATAAAATTGACCATATTGGTCGGGCACAGTGGCTCACGCCTATAATCCCAGCACTTTGGGAGGCCAAGGTGGGTATATCACCTGAAGTTAGGAGTTTGAGACCAGCTTGGCCAACATGGTGAAACCTCGTCTCTACTAAAAGTACAAAAAATTAGCCAGGTGTGGTGGTGCAAGCTGTAATCTCAGCTACTCGGGAGGCTCAGGCAGAAGAGTTACTTGATCCCAGGAGACGTGTCGCAGTGAGCAGAGATCACACCACTGCACTCCAGCCTGGGTGGCAGAGTGAGACTCTGTCTGAAAAAAAAAAAAAAAAAGACCATATCAGCTAGATTTCTGGTTGAAGGCAAGAGTAAAATTGTGTTTATGGATGATGGGAGAGGCTGTGGTGAGAGTTACTGTGAGTGCAAGGTATCTCTACCATTGCTTCTGCTTTTTTACATTGGATTTCTAAAGATGAAAAAGTGCTTCCCTTAATTAGTCCAATAGAGTAAGCCAAATGTTTAAGATCTAGCACATGCCTAGATCTAGTATAAGTTCCAGACTGTGTGTTATTCATTGCTGTGTTTGCAGAGTAGAGTTCCTTATGTTGGTGCTGCTAAAATACTTGTTGAATAAAGGAATGAGATGGCACTGCCTGCAGGTCATATCAACTTGGGAATTAATTCCATTGAAGTCTGAAATGTAACCTTTTATCTTTTGCTTTTCCCATCTTATGCCGCCTTTATCCTTATTTTGGCCTGTTAAATTACCATTCATTTAAAATCACAGGCAGAAAACCTTCATATCACCCTTCTGTTGTTTGTCTTCTTTAGTCTTCTGATGAGTATTTCTTGAATTAGTCTTGCTGTCTCAGACCTCTTCCTAAATCCAGTCTGTTCCCTCTGACCATTAGAATTTTTTCCTAAATATTGTAGCTTATCATTTCCTCCCTCACTAACTTTCATTGACTACAAGATGAACTCCAAATCTCTTAGCTGTTGCCCATCTGAACTTGGAGAAACTGCTCTCCCTAAAATCCCTAACAGTCTCCCTAGTCTCCTAATGTAACTCATTTAGTGGATATTCTCTTTGCTCATATATTTGGTATTTAAGCATTTTTTTAAAACAATTTTTTCCTTCTTGGAATTCTCTTATATGGGCATCCTGACCAAGTTGGGTTTATTATCCATAATATTCAGGGAGAACACACACTTGAGGGTATCAGAGGTTGTTAGAAGGTATCTATTCATTTGGGTAATTTGGGGAAGAGTCTAAGGAAGTGAAGCTTTGCTTTAAATTGAATATTGTCAGAAGGTGAGGGCAATTCTCTGATTCAGCATCTTAATAAATTTTATAGAGAGGGTTGACTAAGCAGGGAAAAAGGTGTAATTGGTAAAGAAGTATCAGTCATTTAATTGAAGAGCGGAATGTTAGGTATTTTGTGTTGCTCAGTGAACTTGTCCAAAATGGATGTTCTACGAAATTGTTTGTGTCCAAAAAAACAATATCACCTAGCTGGTTAGCATCAGATCAGTTGGTAATAACATTGAGGTTTATGTCCGAATCTCAGATAAGTTTCTGGACTGTGGAGGCTGCTGTTTTTTTCTTTATCAGTGCCCACTTTTGGCCAAGGGCAGACGAAGTTGGGCTGCAGGACATTAATTTTTGATTTTCACATCTTCTCTGTGGCTGAGATTTTATTAAGATCAGACGCATTTCCATTCAGTGTAGTTTGCAGTTTAACCAAAGTTAGTCCTTTCTTCTATCTTAAGATGAGCAGTTTATCCATCTGATGTTACAGTGGTTGCACGGTAACATTAAGACTCTGGACAAGGGTACATCAGCTGACTCTAATACCCAATCTTGTGGTTTTCCTTTTACTTCTTTCCTTCTAGGTCATCCTTACCAACCCTGTTTCTAATCCATTTCGAAGAACTATTTAATTTGTAAAATTCAAACCAACTAGTTCTCATTATTTGTAGTATGTTTCGTAAAGTTATCTTAAACACTGAGTTAGCCAGCATGGAACCATTGCTTCTGAGGGAATTATGGAATAAGGTTTCTATGAGTCACAGTGTTTTAATCAGTTGATGAGTTTGTAACCTTGTTTTATGAGTGTTTCTTTTAAAGATGCCTTACTTAATATATATTGCTGATTCATTAACATTGAATTCACAGCAAATAAAGAAGGTTATCTAACACGTGTTTTTTTTCAGAAGGCACATCATAGCCTTCTTGCACTTAGGGATGCTAGACAGCATTTCAGCACTATGCTTGGGGCCATATTAAATAACAGCACCAACAAAAAGCACAAACATGTGGAAAACATGGGCTTAAATAGGCCAAGAAGAAGATCCTTGTTAACAACATGAGAGCTGGAGCTAGAAGGCAGAGTGTTGCTTTGTCCCATCACAGTTGGGAATGTGTGTGTTGGATTACTCAAATTTTTCACCATTCTGCACTCATCTGCAGATTACTGTGAAATAGGAAACATTAATTTTGGGCTTACACATAAATGTTAAGGAGTAGGTGCATTTGCAAATATGGACTCTGGGAATAATGAGGATCAACTGTGTGTCAATTTTTTCCATCTTCATTAATTTCTATAACCCTAACTTGGGCTATCATAATTTCTCAGTTCTAACTAGTCTCCATTCAGTCTGGCCAAATGAAGCATAGTTCTCTCCAAAGTATGGTCCACAGTGTAGCTGGAGTAGTGTTTCTGAAATATAAATCTGATCATTGCATTTATTCCCCATATGTAACCCAGTTGTTTTTCAGTAGCTTCCCATTGCTCTTAGAATAAAGGCAAAAATCCTGCTACGGTCTACAAATCCTTTAAATTCCTGGCCCTTGTTTACCTAGCACCAGTTTCCCCCTGCTTCATAATAATTCTGTCCACTCTTTATTTGTTTTTGAGTTGGAGTATCATTCTGTTGCTTGGGCTGGGGTACAGTGGCATGATCTCGGCTCACCAACTTCTGCCTCCCAGGTTTAAGCGACCACCTCCCGGGTTCAAGTGATTCTCTTGCCTCAGCCTCCCAAACAGCTGGGATTACAGGCATGTACCACTATGCCTGGCTAATTTTGTCTTTTTGGAAGAGACAGGGTTTCACCATGTTGCCCAGGCCGGTCTGGTCTGGAACTCCTGACCTCAAATGATTCACGCACCTAGGCCTCCCAAAGTGCTAGGATTACAGGTGTGAGCCACTGAGCCCAGCCCTCACTCTTTAGATCAGTCTGAATCTGTTTCCTGACACAACCCCCAATCCAGTCTATGTAATTTACTTTGATAGTGTTTTCTCTTTTTTGAGATGGAGTCTCACTCTGTCACCCAGGCTGGAGTGCAGTGGCGCCATATTCACTGCAACCTCTGTCTCCTGCGTTGAAGCGATTCTCCTGCCTTAGCCTCCCAAGTAGCTGGGATTACAGGTGTGCACCACCACACCCAGCTAATTTTTATAATTTTACTAGAGATCGGGTTTCACCATGTTGGCCAGGGTGGTCTTGAACTCCTGACCTCAGGAGATCTGCCTGCTTCAGCCTCCCAAAGTGCTGGGATTATAGGCATGAGCCACTGCGCCCGGCTCTATAGTGTTTTCTTGATAACACTTTCCTTTCCTCCATAGCATTTATCTTAATTCTTAGTTCTACAGATGCTTACTCATATATTCAGTTTAAAAAATTAATATGCCTCTTACTAGAATGTAATATAAGCTCGACGACAGCAAGAATTGTGTGTGCCTTGATTAGCCATTGTATCAGCCACGACTAGTAAAGTACCTGATATGTGGTAGGTTCTCATTACATAGTGCATGAATATGTAAGGCCCTTCCTATCTTGACCTCAACCTATATTCCCATTATTTTCCTATTAGGTTTCTGTGCTCTATACACTTAACTGTTTCCTTAGTCCTCACTCTGAGGTGTTCTATCCTTCCCCACCACCAGAAAGAAAAAAGTAATTTAAATACCAAACCAATTTTTCCCATAGAAACCCCATTCATCTTTTGAGATCCAACTTAACAGTCAACTCTTTGGTGCGATAATTTCCATATACTCTTGAGTAGTGTTTTATAAAATATGTAAGATTGAGATTTGTGCCCTTAGCACCATACTTAAAAAAGTAAATGCTGAAGAGACATGGATATGCCGTGGACAGCTTTCAAACTGGTCAAATAACTTCCTTAAAAGATTAATAGTATTAATTTTTAATATCAAATTTACAGAAGGAATAAATTATTCCCAGAACTTTCTGATTTCAGGGTCACCATTGAAAAATAACTCTTGGTATTATAATAACCTACTTTTTCTGCTTTTTAAAAAATATCTATTGCTAATTTTGATAGGGCCTATTTCAACTTTTTAAAATAATATTTAAACATTAATGATTTTTGAAAATCAGTAGACTTCTTTATTACAATGTAAGCTCTTTGAAGTTGGGTAGGCCAAAGTGTATTTACCTTTTATTCCTTCGTCTAGGGTTTCTTACATAATAGGCAGTGAACAAATAATAAGTAAAGAATGAATTTGTGCCAGTAGAACCATACAGAACCATAAAACAACTTTTTGCTTGGGATTATGTTTTTTTACTTAAATTGATCATCATTGTTTTCTCTGGAAGCAGATAACTGGCATTGCAGCAGTTCTTAAAGGTCGTAACTATTATGGTCATTGAATGGATTTTATTTATGTAAAATGGTTAGGATGTTTTCAGTACTTTGTGTGCAGGAGTACCTGCATTAATGTGCTATGCAGTTTTTTCACTTTCCAGAATATTAATGAATATCAGTCATGTAGTTTTAATTTTGTCACATTATAAAATGGGGCTTCCAATTAGGAGAGCTGTGTCCATTTAAAAATATGTGCTAAATTGATCTTGTATTATAATGTAAATATAAGCCCCAGGGTAAATATAAGCTTTTTAAAAAATAAGCAATTTTACAGAATGTGGTAAGAATTGAACTATTAGGTTGGTGTGAAAGTAATTGTGGTTTTTTGCCATAATGCATACTTGCATGTAGTGTAAAACTTTGTCAAATCAGCATTAAATGAACTATACTAGTTATTGGAATTATCCTTAAAATTACCTTACATGTAATGAATTTCTGAATTATTAACTTGTTTTGCCAACCTTTACCACATAGTTTATTACCCATGTTGCTGGACTATCTCCATAGCTGTTTATCAGTTTGACTGTAATAGTCTTTTTATTTTAACATGGATTTTGACAGTTCTCTGTAGTGTACAAAATAATATATTTTTACTAAAACTGGATCTGGTTTGAATAAAAGAAAAGAACATTAACAAGTTATCTTAGTTGGATTGCTTCCAACGTGATTATTTCATATTCTGAGAAATTACTTTGAAAACAATGAATTGTTTCATAAGGCATATGGAGAAAAAATCTGAGACTGTATACCTTATTTTACCTGAGACTCTATTTACCTTGTCTACTATTCAGCTATTTCATTTAAAGCTGAGATTAGATGATTGATCACTGTATTTTTTCCAGGCTGTTCACTGTTAAACCTTCTTTTGGCAGTGGTTCTTAAGGGGAGGGGAGGCGGGAGATGTCAGGAGGAGCTACTTTCTAGAATCCCCTCTTCACTATTTTGAAAATAAACCTGGTGGCTGGCAGGTAGCTCACACTTGTAATCCCAGCACTGTGGGAGGCCGAGGCGGGCAAATTACCTGAGATAAGGAGTTCCAGACCAGCCTAGGCAACATGGTGAAACCCCATCTCTACTAAAAAGATAAAAATTAGCTGGGCATGGTGGCAGGCACCTGTAATCCCAGCTACTTGGGAGACTGAGTCAGGAGAATCGCTTGAACCTGGGAGTTGAAGGTTGCAGTGAGCCAAGACCCCACCATTGCACTGTAGCCTGAGTGACAGAGTAAGATTTCCTCTTAAAAAAAAAAAAAAAGAGGAAGAAAAGAAATCTGATACCTAGCGGTGGGTATGGGTATTGTGGAAAATTTCCAGTAATATGTAACCCACCCACCACCCCACCCCCATTGAGACATACTTGTTTTGGAAGTGTTCTTAATGTTTGGAAGATGCTCTTAGTGATCTTAATGTTTACGGTTAAGAGCTTCCTAGATAGAATTCAAATCTTATGTAAAGAAAAAGTAAAGAGGAGGTTTTCTCACCAAAAAGCAGTGATGCAATCAATTAGAATGAAAGAGTACTCACTGTAGGTCCTGTTAGTCAATTTGGAATCAAGAGCAACCTGGGGAAAATAATTTTGGATGATGATACCTCATATAGCATGTCAGTACTGTAAAAATCTCTCACCTTCTATCTCTCTAAATACAATGAATTTTAAGTGCATTATTGCTCTTTTCCTTGGTAGCTTTTAGAGTAAATTTGTGATCACTTTTTTTAAAAGAGGATGAGTTTTGTAATAAAGGATGTTCCTATTGAGTGAATGGTATAGCACTGAATTTGAAAAATCTTTTAAAATTAATGCTTATAAAAATTTTACAATTAACACATTTTATTTTTTTGATAGGTTTATGGCTACAAATGATTTGATGACGGAACTGCAGAAAGATTCCATCAAGTTGGATGATGATAGTGAAAGGAAAGTAGTGAAAATGATTTTAAAGTTACTGGAAGATAAAAATGGAGAGGTACAGAATTTAGCTGTCAAATGGTAAGTTGTTTTTTACTAGTTGAGTCTTTTTCCCTGGTCCCCCAACCCTGTTTTTAAAATCTCTGATAAGTAGTAAATTATCTTAGTCTTGTACAATGTCTTTCTAGTGTTAGTATTTAGAATTTTTAGGTGACTAATGTTTACTGTTTGTATATGGTACATATAATATATTTCCTTACAGCATATAAGTTACTAAATGTGGCCTTTCATGGTAATTTTTCTTTTAATTCTTAGGAAGTAATGTAGGGAACTCCAAAAACAATGATTCTCATTTGACCATAGCCTACATATTTAGCTGGGTTAAAGGCCTACTTGTCTCAGTCTTTCTCTGTATTCCAGTGGGGATGAAATTTTAAAACCAAATGATTAAGGAAAATTAAAAACTAATAATAAAATTTCTTTTTTTTTTTAATGCAGGGTCTCACCCTGTCACCCAGGTAGGAGCGCAGTGGTATGATCACAGCTCACTGCAGCCTTGACCTCCTGGGCTCAAGCAATCCTCCTGCCTCATTTTTCAAAATTTTCTTAATATGTGGCCCAGGCTGGTCTTTAACTCCTGGGTTCAAGTGATCCTCCTGCCTTGGCCTCCCAAAGTGCTGGGATCATAGGCATGAGCCACCGTGCCTGGCCAAAAGACTGCTACTAATAAAATTCTTAATAAAGAATAGCAGCACTTAAACCATAGTTAACTCAAAACAACACTGATGATACAATAGTTACAGAGAGTCTTTTCTAAGAGTTATGGAGATTCTGATAGCCTTTTTGTATACTATGCAGTGGGAGCTTCTTGCTATGCATGATGTTGGCAGTTTGGTTTCTAATTTTTTGTAGGGTAAAGAATTTGAGTTCTTGGCCGGGCGCGGTGGCTCATGCCTGTAATCCCAGCACTTTGGGAGGCTGAGGCGGGTGGATCACGTGGTCAAGAGATCGAGACCATCCTGGTCGACATGGTGAAACCCCATCTCTACTAAAAATACAAAAATTAGCTGGGCATGGTGGCACAGGCCTATAGTCCCAGCCATTTGGGAGGCTGAGGCAGGAGAATTGCTTGAACCCAGGAGGCAGAGGTTGCGGTGAGCTGAGATCGCGCCATTGCACTCCAGCCTGGGTAACAAGAACGAAACTCCGTCTCAAAAAAAAAAGAGAGAATTTTGAGTTCTCAATAAATTCCATTAACATTAATTTAGTTTATGAATGTCAACCTTTTTGCTTATACCTGTAATCCCAGCACTTTTGGAGGCTGAGTCAGGCAGATCACGAGGTCAGAAGATCGAGACCGTCTTGGCTAACACAGTGAAACCCCGTTACTACTAAATATATAAAAAAATTAGCCGGGCATGGTGGCATGAGCCTGTAGTCCAGCTACTCAGGAGGCTGAGGTAGGAGAATTGCTTGAACTCGGGAGGTGGAGGTTGCAGTGAGCCAAGATCGAGCCACTGCACTCCATCCTGGGCAACAGAGGGAGATTCCATCTCAAAAAAAAAAAAGAAACCCTTAATTTACATGGTTATTTATATAACCTTTAGCCTTGTAAAAGTTATGGAATTATGTCTTTTTGTACATCATATTTGGTGTCAGTTTAAATAAAACATCCCATTGGTACTGCTTTTCAAAGGATTTTAAATTTGTTTTAGCCTAAACTTCTGCATATCTCCTGTAAGAGTAAATAAAAATATGAGAAATAATTGGTCAGCATAGAATTTATAGTCATGCAATACAGATATTTTTAACTTGAAACATTTGCAAGTTTAAAATAAAATGGGTCTTTCAAAAAATGCTGTTGTAGGCTGGGAGTGGGACTCATACCTATAATCCCAGCACTTTGGGAGGCCAAGGCAGGCAGATCACCTGAGGTCAGGAGTTCAAGACCAGCCTGACCAACATGGTGAAACCCTGTCTTTACTAAAATACAAAAATTAGCTGGGCATAGTGGTGCATGCCTGTTATCCCAGCTATTTGGGAGGCTGAGGCAGCAGAATCTCTTGTTCCCAGATGGCAGAGGTTGCAGGGAGCGGAGATCGCGTTACTGCATGCCAGCCTGGGTGACAGAGCGAGATTTTGTCTGAAAAAAGAAAAAATTGGTGGTGTGGAATAATATAGTTGAGTCAGTAATTTTAGTTTAATTTTCTTATCTTTTAATTTTTTTTTTGCCATGTGCCTAATAAACAAAATTAAGCTTTGTTCAGAATATGTCTTGTATGTTTCGCAAGCTTTTAAAAAAAAAAATCTTTAAAAAAGTACTTTGTCCCAAATTGAGAGTTGGGAGGTATGTAGTTCTTAGTCACTTTAGTATGTATCCTCACTCATTAGGAACCTGAGTTTCTTGACCTTATGTTGATCTTTTATATTTATAATTAGAGGAGTTGGGAAGAAATAACTTATGTTCAAGAAAGTAAAGGAAGTAGGATATAAATAAATAGATTAGGAGATAAAATGATAATGAGTAAATAATCTAAGAGCTGGGTCTTGGAGGAGGGAAAATCCCAATAAATAATAAAACAGCCATATTAAAAAATTGGAAAAATTGAACAAAAATTTTCAGTTTTTGGAAAAATTAAAGAATTCATCACTCAAAAGAAAGGTCCAGAAATATTTCACAGATGTCTTTAAAACCTCAAAGAACAGATAATTCCAGTACAGAGAGTTGTAGTACTGTTCCAGAATGTAGGGTAAGTATGAAAACCTTCCACACTTTAAATTAAATACTGATGACAGATCCTAATGATAACACTTAAAAGAAAATTATAGACTAGCTTCATTTAAATGTTCAAAATAAAATATAGCAGTGTATTACGAGTAACATACTGTGCCCAAGTAGAGTTTACCCCAAGATTATAAGGGGGAGATAGTTCAGTATTATTTGCTTTATTAATTAAGTTATTTTATTATGTTAATAGGTCAAAGGGAGAAAAAAACTATCTGGTTAGTTGTCAAGACACTGGTAAGAGTCAGCATTGACTCTTGATTAAAACAAAACTAAAAGCACTTAGTTTACTTACTATAATTAGAGAGGTGAGGAACTTCCAAAAACCGTCATACTCAGTTTGTCATTAAGTCAAAAACAAGTTGAAGATATATTATCCCACTTGACAGAATTCATCTGTTCCAGATAAAACATGTAACAACATAGGAATTGATAGATCCCTTCTTTAACATAAAAGGAGTACACATGTACACACACACACACACACACACACACACACACACACACACACACTTCGGCCCTAAAGTCAGGGACAAGGCAATTATGTGCATCTCTCTGCCATTTCTTTTAAGAGTATTAACCACTGTAAGATGGGTGGGAGGAAAATTAGAAGCATAAGAATTGAAAAGTTTAAGTGGGAAAGACAAGTCAATTAAGAAAAATTGAATTGACAATAAGAATTCGGTGAGGTAGGATGTAAAATTTACAAAAGTAGTAGCTTTTCATATAAGCTTTTGATACAGTAGCTTTTCATTTGCTGATATGAAAATCATTAGCTTTTCATATGGCCAGTTAGAAGACATAATGGAAATGAACACCCATTTATTATAGCAACAGAAAGACAAAATACATAGGAACAAATGTAACAAGAAATATTATAATGGTGAGCATGGATTGCAGTGTTGTGTGTTATAAGGTAAGGTTACAGTTTTCTGTTCCAAATTTGTGGGAGAAAAATTTTTAAATACTTTTAAAATACCAAAATGTACTTGAACAAAGACATCTCATGTCCTTAAATGGGACAACTCTACACCATGAAGTTTTTGGTTCTCTTCAGGTTACTTTCATGCTAATCTAACTTTAAAAATCATTAAGTTTTTTTAGAAGCTAGACAAACTGACTATAAAGTATATTAGGGTTGAGAATGAGCAAGTGCTGAAGATAGTCAAGAGAACTCTGAAAAAGTAGAAAACTGCTGCGGATAGAAAGGTTAGCCCTATAAATATTATCTCTATCATCAAAGCGGTGAGGCAGTGGGGCATTAATAGACCAGTGAAGTCAAATAGAATGTAAAGTATGTTATGAAGGTAGCATCACTGGGAAAAAGATGGACCTTTTTCAAAATTGTATAATTTTATTGTACAACATTTCCAATCAAGGTCACCATTATTCAGGTTTTATTTACCTTAGTTTTGCCTGTTAAAAAACTTCATATAAATGAAATTACACAGTATGTGCTCTTGTATTTGGCTATTTTTGCTCTCATAATACCAGAAATTAATCCATGTTGTTTATATTAGTAGGTCATGTCTTTTTATTAATTAGTACATTGATAGTTTGTTTATTCATTTGGTTTCTTTCATGGATTTGACTACTGTCAATAAATATACAGTGAACGTTCCTGTACACAAGTCCCTTTTAGGACATGTGTTTCATTTCTTATTGATACCCAAGAGTGAAACTGCTCTTGTTCACTTAGCTTTTTATGAAGACGCCACATTGTTTCCCAAAGTCTATGTACCGTTTTATGTGAAAGTACCAGTTGCTCCACATTCTCACCAGCCATTTGGTTGTGTCAGTTTTTAATTTTAGCCACTTCAGTAAGTGTGTAAGTGTGGTTTTAATTTATATTTCCCTGATAATTAATGATGTCAAGCACTGTTTCATGTGTTGTTTGGCTATGTTTTTGTGTGTATGTGGACTTTTTATTTTCAAGTTGTAGTTCTTTTCTGAATTTGATGAGCTTAAATTTTTAATTTTGGTTTCAAATTGTTTAGTTTGATTTAATTTATACGTAATTTAAATTTTTGTTTATGGCTGTTGTTTTCTGTGTTCTAAGAAATCTTCGTTTACCTTAGGTTGTAAAGATTTTCTCCAAATGAGATTTCTAATTTTAGCTTTACTTTTAGTTCTATGATGGATCTTATATTTATTTTTGCAAAGTATATGAGGCAGGAATTGACTTTTTCTTTTTTTCCCCAAATGGATATCCAGTTGATGCAGCACCATTTATTGAAAAGATCTTCTTCCCTACTGATTTACTTTGGCATCCTTGTCAAAAAAGTAATTGACTATA